AAACATGTATATCCGTATATACCCGAAGACACACCACTGTTCTGTTCAAACGTGTACTATGTCCTCTCTATAAACAACAATTAAAAAAATCATGCTTATAAATTTTTTATCAATTTACTATTGTATTATTATGATGTGATTCTGTACAAAAGTATGTTACTTTAACATTTTTACTTGTTTGTCGAAAAGCCCTGTGCAGTCTCTTTATAACATGTAATACTTACATGCAGTATTATTATACAATTGTGATAAAATAATCACAGTGAAACATTCGTTTTAGGCAAGAGAGAAAGAAAATATCAGCAGCAACCACTAACCTTGGAGCAGATTTATTTAAAGGAAAAGGTGTTGTCCATGATAAATGTAGGCAAGGTGGAAGTGGTCGGGTTTGAGGGGTGCCCAAGTGGTGTTCCAAAACTTTGGAGTAACGATAAAGGTGATTTCCTGAAATAAGAAAACAATTTTTTTTTACCTCAAGAAATGCATGAGTAATGTACGTAGTTAGACGTTGTGTGATATAACTTGAACTTTCCTCATTCCTGCTGGGTGATTTCCTGAAATAAGAAAACAATTTTTTTTTTTGCCTCAAGGAATGTACGTAGTTAGACGTTGTGTGATATAACTTGAACTTTCCTCATTCCTGCTGGGTGATTTCCTGAAATAAGAAAACAATTTTTTTTTTTGCCTCAAGGAATGTATGTAGTTAGACGTTGTGTGATATAACCTGAACTTTCCTCATTCCTGCTGGGCAATTTACTGAAACAAGAAAACAATTTTTTTTTTTGCATGAGGAATGTATGTAGTTAGATGTTGTGTGATATAACCTGAACTTTCTTCATTCCTGCTGGGTGACTTACTTCTACTTGCAGAACTTAGACATGGTTCAAAGAGCAATAACATAATAAAATCAAACAAAAACAGATGTAAATTGTTATGACCCCAAAGCTATATAGGATAAATAATTTTAGATTTTCTATTACAATCTGTAATCATTCCGGAAATAAAAAAGGGTACTTTAGATTTATGTCATATTTTTGTGTGGTGGTTACAAGAACAGTCAAATGGACTGAGCCTGTATAGTGTTAGGGTAGAGAAAATAACAGAAGAAATATAAAATTTTCCTGAAAGAAACTTTTAATATTCCCTTAGAAGGTTCTAGCAGTTATTTAAATGAAGTCTGAAATCTGTAAGATGGAAAAAGTATTTTTATTCTTAACATGAAAATTATCTTACACTCAGACTATTCAGAGTGACTAAAATGAATTCATAGACAAATCTTTATTATCAATACTTTTTTGTGTACAGCACACTTGTAGTGTTTGCTAAAAGCTTAGCAAATTTTGTAAAGATACATTAAGTAAATTTGAATCATGGAATTCATGTCAAACATCAATTCTCCAATATTATCTTGGTTCAGTGGACTGACTTATTTTTATTTTTTTAACTAACATAATACCTTTTTAATTTTTATATTTTTGCTCCTGTTAAAAAACGTATATAAATGAACAAGAAATACACGTAAAAGAAATTTAACACTTCAAGCCTTTTGCTTTCGGAAGCTGGACCTCATTAACCCTAAATTTTTCTCCTTAAGTTGGTTGTCCAAAACATAATTCATGTAACTTTCAAATAAACATCTTAAAACACAAACAATGATTAAAACAATAAACCAGAATGCCCTAAAATTACTATAATTTACATGATTTTCTAAATGACCTATAAAACAGTTTAAAATATTTCATTACTTACTGAATTACTGACTTCAGTGTTCACTCAATAATATCTAATTGGAAAATGGCACCTTTTACCAAATTAAATAAATATAAAGATGTCATAATCACATAATTCACAAAATAGACCTTCTATTGGTTATAAACATGTACCATCGACAAGTAACTTTGAGTAAATAAGAAATTTCAAAAGCATGAAGAGTTGGGAGGAGCTTCTTTGGTGAGTGTAACAAATTTACTGCTACCTCAGACAGTAAAGAAGGCAAGACGTTCTTATTTTAAATTCTAGGTTTTCAATGTCATTAGTTTGTATCCCTAATTATTGGACATTCTGAAACCCATATAAAGGAAGAAAAAAATTTTAAACGAAGAATTCAAAACGTAGAGATATCACATGAGACATAGAAAACAAGATAATTTATTTAAAAACTTCCATTTTAAATTAAGATATCAAAATTTATATAATATTAAAATTTGAATTATAAACTAAATTTTGAGGCCAACTTTATTGACATATGTTGAAAATGAAGTTATTTAATTAAATTTTGAATATAAATCTGTAAAAGTCATGACATGCACACTTTGACCCCCACCTGTGCATACGGTTAATGTAACTTAGTACTTAAGGCTAAATATTTAAATAATACAGGAGATGAAATGCACTAAAAAATTACTTACCTTCCATACGTTGAGGTAAATCAAAGGCTGGTGGAACTGAAAATGGTTTTAGCGTTTCAAAAACTGAAGCCAAGTTTCCTGTTGAAGCATACTGTAAAACAGCCTCTAGCAACCAAAAACAATCTGTAAACAAAAAGAGCCAGTCAGTTAGACTTTCCTAGAGCTACAAGGTTGTTATCATGTTCGCTGATTACATTAACAATAAAGAATTTTGTTATAGTGTAGTTCGAAATCATTAAACTGGGCTATTAGTCATGACATACACACATATATATATACATATTTTGTTGAATAAGACCGATGTCTGTGGGTTTACTTTCTTCTTAGAAATCTTCTCAAGAAGTCGTTTTAACATTGTTAGAACAACGGGCAAAAGTTGTAGATAATGGTGAATTGGCCGACGCGTTTCGAATGCGATCTGCATCCATTATCAAGGCTGAGTGTTGTGTGAATTGCGATTACTGTTAGTGGATATTTATAGGCAAGTGGGTGGAGGTATTTAACTCATTAGGTG